TGTATCGTAGGCAGAGACTGCTCATTCGTTCCCAGTCATCCAAGACCCAAATAATCACACAGAAACTGTATTAATTACAACACTGCTTGGCCAATCACAGGTGTATTGCCAGCTAGCTCCTGTATCTTTTTTTTTTTTTTTTGGTTTTTCGAGACAGGGTTTCTCTGTGGCTTTGGAGCCTGTCCTGGAACTAGCTCTCTAGACCAGGCTGGTCTCGAACTCACAGAGATCCGCCTACCTCTGCCTCCCGAGTGCTGGGATTAAAGGCGTGCACCACCATCGCCCGGCTAGCTCCTGTATCTTAAACTAACCCTTTTCCATTATTTTGTGTTTTTTTTTTTTTTTTTTTTTTTTTTTTTTTTTTTTTTGGTTTTTTGAGACAGGGTTTCTCTGCAGCTTTGGAGCCTGTCCTGGAACTAGCTCTGTAGACCAGGCTGGTCTCGAACTCACAGAGATCCGCCTGCCTCTGCCTCCCGAGTGCTGGGATTAAAGGCATGCGCCACCACTGCCCGGCTTATTATTTTGTATTTTACCACAAGGCTTGTGGCATACTGGCAAGGTTCCAGCAGTTTCCCCTGATGTCTTTCTTTTTTGGCAGCTACATGGCATCTCCCTGACTCCACCTTTTTTTCTCTTCTATCTGCTTGGAATTCCCACCTTACTCTATTTTGCCCTGCCATAGGCCTAAGCAGCTTTATTCATTAACCAGTAAAAGCAACACATATAGGGAAGGGCTTCCCACACCAATATATCCTGTGTGTGTGTTTAAGATCAGGGAATTGAGGATCTGTAACAAATTTACCAAACACAAATAGTGACACTGTTACAAACAATCCCTCTGCCTTTGGTTAAAGTAGCAGTTTATCAGAAAAATGTCTAACCAATGGAGGCAATCCCTATCACTGATGTGACTGAAATCCTAGCACTCCAGAAGCTGAGGCCAGCCTGAGTTACTTAGCAAGACCTTGTCTTGATACAAATAAAAAGGTGAGAAAAGAAAAATATTTCCTCATAGTTTTTTGAAATTAAAATACAATTGCATCATTTTTCCATTCCCTTTCCTGGTACTCTTGAATAGCTTGGGGGAAGCAGGGAGGTAAATTAAACTTCTTTAATTTTTCCTATACCTATTGATTTTTAAAAACATACTAAAATTGTTAAGATGAACTATCAATTCTCAAAGTACCATTTTTGCCAGCCGTTTTTTCTCCTTTATTTTTAGAGAGCCATTCTACCTACATAGTTGTGAGTGCTGTGATGCCCAGTCTTAGAACTTCATATGTAGTTATGGACTAAATTATTGAATATCTTTGGAGAGTTTTCCTATACTAGTAACCAAGTGAAGGTCATTGGCATTATCTCAACACTGTTTCTTAACATAAGACTTGTCTTTAATAGTTGGGGGAGGGTGTTTTCTTAGGCCCTTAGCTCAAATTCTAATACAGCATATTGGGGCTTACATAAACTCTGAATACACCTTTTTAGTAATGTTGGCGTCTAAGGAAAAATGGTCTCTGGTCTGCCCCACAGCGTCTGTTGAGAATTATTGCACTAGATGCCACTTATGTGCATTTGAGGGTGAGCTTAGCAGACTTTCTGGTCTCTTTTGCTTTTGAAACAGGGAACTTTTTTTTGCTTGTTTTGAGACAGATTTCTTTGTGTTGTCATGGTTACCCTGAAACTCGCATTGTAGACCAGGCTGGCCTCGAACTCAGAGATTCACCTGCCCCTGCCTTCCGAGTGCTGGCTGGTTTTAAAGACATGTTCCACCACTCCCTGGCTTGAGATGGGATTTTTTGTGCAGCCCAAGCTAATCTTGAACTGAGCACTTTGTGCCCTCACTTCCCAAGGGGCTACCACTATGACTAGCAGTGCTTATTTTCATTCTTAGCAGTTTCTTAAGCAAATTTGTTTATAGTACCAAAATAATGCCTTCATGAAAGGAGGGTATTTAAAATTTTAACAATAGTGGCAATTTATTATTTATAATTATGTTTTCTGGTATAAGAAAGATGGCCCTTTTTTACTAAATTTTGCTGAGTAAGAATGAAAAAAAAATCTGTCTCTAATTAACCTAGTATGCTCCTCTTTATGCAATGATACTTCTTTTTTCCTGTCATCAACATGTAATAGCATATCCATCTTTCGTAGCTCTTTGCACTTATAATATGATAGTTATAGCATAATTGCAAATTGCATATTCTTGGCCCTGAACTCACTTGTAGAGCAGAGGACAACTTTGAACTCCTGTCCTCCTGCGTCTACTCATGAAATACTGGGATTATAGGCATGTACCATCACACTCAGCCTCCAAAATCTCTAATTTAAGACGTTCTTTCTGTTCTCGAATTATTTTTACCCGTGAGCAACAGCTTAAAAAAAAAAAAAACCTCTGTATTGGTGTGCATTTGTGTGTGGGCTTGTGCAGGTACCCATAGAAGTGCAGGTACCCATAGAAGTCAGAGAGGATCAGATCTAAAGCAGGAGGCTGCTGTGGGTGCCCGTGTGCTGCTATGGGCTACTGTGCACTGTCTGACCTGGGTGCTGGGACCCAAACTCAGATCCTTTAGAGGAGCAGTGCATGCTCCCCAGCATCCAGTTATCTGTCCAGCCCCAGTGAGCATCATTTTAATATAATTGGTGCTTTCCTTCTTCTGTATTGTATCGATTTTGTATGATAAATACTTTTAAAAGAAATGGGATAGTTGTATGAACAGCATAAAAGAAACCTACATTCTAATGGAAGGTTTTTTCCTCTTATATGCTGCAAGCTAACAGTAATACTTTAATGCACAATTTACCTCTCAAGCTAGCAAAATAACCTTTCTTTGAAACACAATATCCAGAAAGATGTACCTTTTAATACAGAAAATAATTTTCAATGCTTTAATGCTAAATATTACCAAGGAAATGTAAAAATAAGACTTGCCACATCTACAAGTTATAGGATTCCATGAAGCATTGACTCAGTGGTCAAGAATTTTTTTTCTTGTTTATTTAAGATATCAGAAATACCACCATTTTAGCTATCTTATGGATTCTGAAATTACACTGACTAACAATTTACCGTTTGTAAACAAGGAAACTGCCCTTACCTTCTAAAGGATGTAAATCTAAGTCTAACTTACTTTGTATTTGTAGATAAATGATAGCTTTACTCTGATCTAAATGTTTAGTTAGAATGCTTCTGTGATAGTTTATTACTTTTGTGTTTTGAGACAGAGGTGCCCTTTTGTAGCATAGGCTAGCTTTGAACTCAGCTCTTCATCCCTCTGCCTCCCAAGTGCTAGATTATATCCCTGTGCTAGCCACCTTGGCAGGCTTAGTTCTGTTACTTAGCATTTACATTACAAGTGTAATAAATAGCAATGATAGTCTCTTAAAATTCTCATTTTGTTTTCCTGGTAAATACAGGTTTTTAATTTCTAAATAAGCTAAAGACATACATTTATTTATTTATTTGCTTTTTTGAGACAAGATTTCTCCATGTAAAATTCCTGGCTGTCCTGGAACTTGCTCTGTAGATCAGGCTGGCCTCAAATGCAAAGATCCATCTGCCTCTGCCTTCCAACTGCTAGAATTAAAGGTGTGAGCCATCACTGCCTGGCAAGACTTTATAATGAGGTCATAGGCATGGTGTTAATTTCCACAATTACACTTTGAAAATTTTAATATATATATATATATATATATATATACACACACACACACACACACACACACACACACACACGTTGGTGAGGGATTTCTATCCTGCCCAGTTCCTGCAAGTCGTTAAGTCCCAAAGAAATCACACAGAGGTCTACATTAATCGTAAACTGATTGGCCCATTATCTCAGGCTTCTTATTAACTCTTATAACTTAGATTAGCCCATTATTCTTGTCTATGTTAGCCACATGGTTTGGTACCTTTTTCAGCGAGGCAGTCATATCTTATGACACTCAGGCCACCTGCAGAGGGCTGGCACCACCCACAGTGTTCAGGGCCTTCCTATATCAGTCATTAATCAAATCAAGAAAATGTGCCACAAGCTTGCTAACAGGCCAGTCTGGTGGGGACATTTTCTCAATTAAGGTTTCCTCTTCATAGATGACTTTTTTTTTCTTTTTCCGAGACAGGGTTTCTCTGTCGCTTTGGAGCCTGTCCTGGAACTAGCTCTTGTAGACAAGGCTGGCCTCGAACTCACAGAGATCCTCCTACCTCTGCCTCCCAAGTGCTGGGGTTAAAGGCGTGCGCCACCACCACCCGGCCCTAGATGACTCTTAACTTGTGTCAAATTGATGAAAAACTACCCAGCACAGTGGTTGTTTATGAGAAGGGCCTCTCATAGGTAGATAAAATTTCTCTATAGCAGATTTAAATATTTTTATCAAAAACAAAAATAACTTAATTATATACTGATCATACTTTGTTTTTTACTGATTATATTTGATGATAAAGAATAGAACTTAAGATTATAGTAAATAAAGTAAACAGAAGAGAGCATACAGTGTCTTGATAGAGAGAATATTAAGGACAGGGGGGAGATTTCTGTTACTATAATATGTAGAGCCGCTGTTGGGGAAAGGCAATGTCTTCTTCCTGCCTAGTGGAGCAGAATTTCTAAAAGTCTGCATGGAACACCTAGATCAGCTTTGCATGTTATGATCTTTTTTTCTCCCTTGCTCACAACCTGAATAGGAAAAACTAACTGGTCTGAATTGCTCGGTGTATTGGCACAGCTCTATCTTAGACTGCACTTCCAAGTGTTTCATCTCCACTCTCCATATGCATGTTAACAGTTCACGTGTATCTTGGTCATTTTCTAATGCATTGACACCACATGCCTTGGGCCCATCATAGTTTTGAAAAATCAGCTATATTTTTTTAATTGGTTTTCTTTAGTTGAACTTACAAAAAGAATCAGAATTTTATTGGGAAGCATATTCCTGGGTTGTGGGTGAAATAATTTTTTTTATATTTCTGTAGTTTCTACTATAAATAATTTTTTCTTTTGCAGATATTGATGATGCTCAAATCCTTCCCCGTTCCACCAGAGTACGACATTTTTCACAGAGTGAAGACACTGGAAATGAAGTTTTCGGAGCTTTGCATGAGGACCAGCCATTGCCTCGAAGCAGCAGCACTTCTGACATCGTGGAGCCATTCAGTGTTGAGCGAGCCAAAGGTGCAGTTCCTGTCGTTGACAGTTCATCCCGTCATGCTCCAGGCTTGCAGAGCTCCACAGAGGCTTCTTCAATAACTAGAGCCACTGAAGGCCACATCACTGATACTCATAGCAGAGAGTCTTCTCTGGAAGTTGGTGATAGCATATATGACCATCTTTGTCATTTAATAGGTCCAGTAGAACTTGCAGATGCAGCTTTCGAACAAATCCAGTACATTGACCTTGAAGGAGATGAGGATCTTCTTTCTTCCCTGAAAGAATACTTTAAGGAAAACCAGGAAAATCATAGTAAAAATGAGCTAGGTAACGATACAGCTTCTCAGAAGGTGATTATTGCAGTAACTAGAGATGAAATACCATCTTTAGATAAATTAGAGTGCATAGGCCAGGAAATAAAACCAGAAAATCTAAAATCTTGTGTTGGGACTCCTGAAAATACAGCGTTTCAAAAAGAACCAAGCTCAGCTGTCTCCACGAGTACTCTTGCACCTAACCAGTCAGTTAGTTTTGCGAGAACACAAACTGCTGAAAAATCTAAACAACTAAATCTTGATGAACAGTCCTTGGATCCTAGTTCAGGTAGCCCTTGTGATAAAGAAAAAAAGAAACCTCTGTATAGACAAACAGCCACAGAAGTAGATGCCTCTGTAGATATAACACTAGGTGAAAAGCTTAAGAGTATACAAGTTAATGAAAAAGTCACCCCATATATTATGCATGCCAAGAAAACTGCACTAAAAGCACCAGTAAACCGCAGAATGCCTCATGTTTCCAACACCGGCAAGCTTTCTCCAACCAAGAGGAGCTTGTCTGAAACAGTAACCCATAGGGCCAAAATCATGAAAATTGCTGCTAAGAAACGAAATACTGTTCATGTTACTTTTAGGCCATCTACTGAGTCTGTTCAGTTTTATAATCCACTGGAAAATAAAGAGGCTCCATGGAAGATGAGACTACGGAAGCTCAGTGGCTTTAGCAGTAGTAGCAATAGCAGTACCAGCAATACACAGAGCAGCTCAACTAGTGGTACAGACCTTGTAAAACCTGGTGTGTACAGACCTCTAGATATGATTGGTGCAGCATCCGTTAGCAAAACAGTGAAGGAATCCACAGAGATCCCCACCGCCACATCACAGAAAGAAGGAATTGCAAGTAACCAGTTAGGGAGTCGCAGTACTCTTAGGTCATCGAGTCACGAGGCAGGACTACAGCAGGGCTCCCTGGGTGGCGTTTATAAAACTGTTGTACATGCTCTTTCGAAGCCGAAGGCAAATGTTTCCCCACAGAGGCAGAACAGAATGCCACCAGAGGCTCCACTGAGGGATCTGTACAGTCATGTAATGGGCTATTTTGGAAGGAAAGCTGCAGGTGAGCACTTACAGTGTGCAGAGCGCAAAAGGAGAAAGACAGCACCAGTTTGGCTTAATGCAACTGAAGCAAGCTATAAGCAATCAAAAAGCTTTGGGATGGTCACTGCTTTCTCTCTGTTTGGTTATGCATGCGCCTTTCCCCAGCTGTATTTTTCCCAGCATACAATATTTATTTAAATTACTAATTTCCCTTATGAGGCATTTAGTTAAACCTCTTTGCTGCTGAACAATAAAATAGAAAGGGGAAGATACAGAAACAAATTTAATGACCTTTCAAAGGTCAAGGATTTTTCTGAGTGTGCACTATGAGTCTTGAAGTTTACTGAGGAGTTGGCTGTACTTTCTCTCTTGCCCCCACTACTTTATGTCAAAATGGGCATTAGTTGTATCTAATTGAATTCGCTTATTCTTACTGCTGAGTTGGTCTTGTATTTTTTCCTTTGTAGATGGTTACTTTGACATCTAACATAACAGAAATCAAAGTCCTACAACCAACATCAACATTATACTTAACTATCATTGAAGAGGAAACCCTTTCTTTAATCTCAAAGATTTAATCACTTTCCATTCAAGGCATTTCAGAAAAAAAGTGCTGTAGGCCTTTAGACTTTCATTCTTGTGTATATAATATGTTATATCTTTGCAAGATTTAAATCTTTATTATGAGATTTTAAATGTGCATTAAGGTTTCATAATAGCTATTGTTATTTCAATGTGGAACCTAAATGTGCAGATTAGAAAAAGGAAGCAAGATTGTAGTAACCACTTTATCTTGTTTCAAAATTAAACAACTTTACAGATACAGAAACTTAACTTTCAGCAGTAAGGTAGGTTTTGATTTCATTTATTTTAACATGTTTTTTGTTAGCATGATTAACAACGCTGTATAATGCATCTTGCATTGAGCCATTAATGCCACTTGAGGGCAGTATATTACAGCTTAGCAAAGCCTGGCCAGTAATATAAAGACAATGGTATTACACAGTCTGAAATTCTTTGTGGTTCAGTAGGAATATAAATAGCGCTGTTTTTTCTTCTACAGAGAAATGAACTTTTCAACAGTATGATACTGACATAATTATCTTTTTTCCCACAAGTTAGTTTCCCAAGTGAAAATAATTTTGTTACTATAAAATCATATTGTAGTGTTAATATTAAGCAAATCTAGTAACTATTTTGGTTTTATTTTTGCTTGAATCTTGCGAAAATTGAACCTTTTTTCCTTTGAGCATCGAGGTTAGATCTTAGACTAAATCTAAAAAAAGTATACCAAATCATGAAATTTTAATTTGTGTTCAAACTTAAGTGTGTTTGTGTCTCACTGAGATTTGCATGATTTGAAAGTATATATTCCTTACAGTTACTCTCTGGAGAAATCTGAGGGAGTTGTGAATTATTAAGGCTCTGGAGAAGCATAGAGTAGGAAGAAAGAAAAATATAATATACCAGTTTCTTTATAGGCAATATTAACCTGACTTCAACTAGTGCTTACCTCTAGCTTTCTTGCTGTTTAAGGTCATACTGAAGATTGACTAACATCTGCTTAGTTAAGTAAAGTAAATACAATTTACTAATTCTTAAATATTAAATCCAAAAGGAGGGAAATTATTCAGAAGTGCATGTTTGGCAAATAATTGATATGGCAGAGGTACTTTATTGTGGATTATTTTGTTTCAAATTTAGAAAGTACAGTTAAGTTGTTGCTCACTATATGTAGTTATTTATTTGCTTCTAGTAAGTAAAGAGGACACGAGCCCCAAACTGCCTCCTCTTAATAGTGATACTGGTGGCAGCAATGCCAATGTTCCTGATCTAATGGATGAGTTCATAGCAGAACGGCTTCGAAGTGGGAATACCTCGGTGAGCTTGCCTTTTCTTTAATTTATTTGGTTTTTGAGATAAAGATAGAGAACTAAAAATAGGTATAATGTATATGTGGTGATTTTTATTCAAAACTTTATTTTTCCTGAAATTTAGCCCTCACTTAAAAAGTAATTTAAAAATTTTAACATGAATTTATTTTATGTGTGTATATATATGATGCTTGTATGCTATAGCATGCATGTGAAGGTTCACGGACAGCTTCAGAGAGGAAGTTCTCTGCTTCTGCCCTGTTCATCAACCTTTATAGTAAACACCTTCACCCCTGACTTACCAGTCCTTACAACTTTTTAAAGCTGGACTTAGTGCTACAAAGTTCTGTCCAGCTGCTCAGGAGGCTGAGGTAGGAGGATACTAATTCAAGGCCTTGCCTAGGGTGCAGTGTAACTTCAAAGCCAGCTGGTACAACTTAGTGTGATCCAGTCTTATAAAAAGTAAAAGGAGAGCTGACTGACCTCAGTGATTGAGTGCTTGTCTAACATTTACAGATCATTAGGTCAGGTCCCAGAAGGGGGTGGGAAGAGGAATATGTGTGTGTTTTAAATTAAAGTTTTTAAATTATATGTTTTTCAAAGACATAAAACATTGAAGCATGTAGCTTTTCACTACAGACATCCTGGACCATCTGTTAGTAATTGTGAGCCACTTCTTTCCTAGTTCCTCTTAACTGTCTTTCCAGTTGGTATCACCTGCTGTCAATAGGAAAAAACAACAGAAGTCACTTAGCCCAGTTCCCATAGTTTTGATAACAAACAATGCTTAAACAATTCAGATAACTTCTAGAGTTCATGTTAAAATTTACCTTTTATCTTAAATATTGAATATCAGAATGAAAATAGAAGCTAATGTATCTCTAGTTCTCAGTTGCAGAATTGCTTTTAAAAACTGTTTTATTTCATTTGGGTTTTAATTTGTCTGTGACTATTACATTTCCTTTTATTTGAATTTCTTAATGAGTAGGGATTATTTTAGAATCATAAAATGACATCTTTGCTATCTTTTCACTTTCTCTTCTGTTTGCTTTTTTGTCCCACTCTAAACTTTATTTTTCTGCTGTTTAAGAGCTTTAGATGCAACACCATCTCACCTGATACTTAGGTCTTTGCTTTAAGTAGAACTACCATAGCTTAGGTATCAGGTACATATCATTACGTATTATTTAGATTGTTCAGTAAGTATATTTCTCCTTTCCAAATGAGGTCCTAAATATCAGCATTTATACTGATGATTATCTTGAAAACTAAAGGTTTTTGGGTGCTTGATTTGAAATTTAAAAAATTTTAATTGTAAGCAAGAAATTTAATGTTTCTTGTTTTAGACATTGACAAGAAGGGGAAGTAGTCCAGGCAGCCTTGAAATTCCGAAAGATCTCCCTGATATTCTAAACAAGCAGAGCCAGATGCGTCCTGTTGATGACCCAGGTGTACCCTCAGAATGGACATCTCCTGCCAGTGCAGGGAGCAGTGATCTTATGAGCTCCGATAGTCATTCAGATTCTTTCAGTGCTTTCCAATGTGATGGACGAAAATTTGACAGTAAGTATCATTTACTGTTTGAGCATATGTTTTCAGTCAGTTGTTTTCTGACTTGTGGGTGGCATAGCTTTTACTTTACTCTCTGTTGTTACTTAGGAAATTACTCTATATGTTCATTTCACAATTTCTGAAGTTTAGGGAATCATCTCAGGTTGAGACCATTTTAATTTGAAAAAAATGGGGGAGCAAGAGTTATTTAAAAAACCAAAACCACCGTCCCTCATAAGAAATTGCATTTTAAAGACAAAAGATATGAAAAGAAAATTATTGAGAATGGTGTTAATGTTAAAATAAAGCGCCAACATAGTTATGAGATGCTATTCTTTAATCCACTCATATTTGCTGTCTGTTGTCCAATTCTCTACCCAGACTCTTCCTTGAATATTCCTCTATGTTAAATATCAGCTATTATTATTTGGTACCATATGTTACTACGTGATCAGGCTGTTGAAATTCTGTGTAATTCTAAGTGTAGACTTAGCATTCAGGGAATAAAATTAAAAACTTTAGGAATCAAATTTGTGAGTTAGGAGGTATACTGGAGTATTGTATGTTTCCTTTTTTTATGAGTTGATTATATACTATTCTGAGCTCAAACAGGTGAGATTTTAAGAGATGATGATGATGTGGGGGGAGGGGAGAGAGAGAGAGAGAGAGAGATTTATAAGAATACTTAAAAAGTAGTAAGTGTATTTTATTACCAGCTATCAGAAACTACATAAGAATTACATTTTAAAATAATTGTTTTTTGACAAAGATTTCTGTCTTACCCAGTCCCACAGTCATTCTGTCCCAAAGAAACACACAGAGGCCTACATTAATTACAAACTGGTTGGCCTATTATCTCAGGCTTTCTTATTAACTAATTCTTACATCTTACATTATAACCCATAATTTTTGTCTGTATTAGCCACGAGGCCTTGCACATTTATCAGTGAGGCATTCTTATCTTGCTTCCTCTGTGTCTGGGTGACGACTGCAGACTCAGCCATTCCTCTTCTCAGAATTCTCCTGTTCTGGTGGCCCTGCCTATACTTCCTGCCTGGCTACTGGCCAATCAGCATTTTATTAAACCAGTGCAAGTGACAAATCTTTATAAAGTACTTGACCATTGTCCCACAGCAATTATTGTTAATAACAAGTTGTTACAATCTTAAAGTGTTTCTAGTTGAGATCTTCTTCAAAATTTTACTGCTGCTTATATGTTCCAGAATGAAACAATGCAGAGTAGATTAGGAAGAATGTGAATATTTGCTTATTGTGTTGCTGAAGTACTAGTGTTTCTTCTTCCTACAGACTTTGGCTTTGGGACTGACATTGGGATCCCCTGCTCTGCTGATGTGGATTTAGGTTCTGGCCATCATCAGAGCACCGAGGAGCAGGAAGTGGCTAGCCTAACAACACTTCATTTAGATTCAGAAACAAGCAGCCTTAATCAGCAAGCCTTCTCTGCTGAAGTTGCAACAGTTACTGGTAAAACAACTCAAGGGAATGTTACTTAATCTTGGCTTCTAAACTTCCAAAGAATCTGGTTAAGTTTCTACAGCTTGTATGATCGACTGCTATTTCAATGGGGTTTTGCTTGTTTGTTTGTTTTGTTTTCATTTAATTTTTATTTTATTTTAACAGAGGAGCAAACAAAACAAAACAAAAACCCAGAGTAGTTTCTTGACGTGAAGTACATGTAGGTAAGCATTAGTGGACTTCATGTATATGCACCAGACTAGAAGCAGTTGTTAAACAGACAATCTAGAAGAGGAAACAAGTACTTCACTATATCTTTTTCCCTGTTGTTCAGAGTCAAACCAGCTTTTAAAGCATTTGTTGCAGGAAATATAAAGCACTCTGCCAATAAGAAGACGTATTTGTTAGTGTACTAGAATACCTAGTGATGCAGCAAATTATCCTCTTCAGATACTTTTTAAATGTGGCAAAACCCAACTTTAATATAGTAAGTGGAGTCCTGGAAGTTGAGACATAATTAAATAGATAAAAATGTTACTGCAGGGTTAGTGTAGAGATTACAATGATCTTGAAGGTTTTACTGCGTGATCTGAACTTACTCTGGTTCCAGCTATACCCTGATGCACCTCACTCAGCGGTTAGCCATTCCAGTTAACAATCATGGTAGTCGCTTATGATTCCAAGCACCATGATCTCTTTAAGAACAGAAATACTCATCAGCCCTCATTGTTCGCCATGCTCAGAGAGTCCAGTTTTATCCCATGCTTTTGAGGGCTGATGAGAAGCCAAGGACAATGGCACGGGGTTTTGAACCTACGTAATGTGCTGGCTTTGTGGGAGCCTAGCCAGTTTGGATGTTCACCTTCCTAGGAATGGACGGAGAGGGGAGGACCTAGGACTTACCACAGGGCAGGGAACCCTGACTGCTCTTTGGACTGGAGAGGGAGGGGGAGAGGAGTGGAGGGAGGGGGAGAAGAGTGGGAGGAGGGGGAGGGAAATGGGAGGCTGGGAGGAGGTGGAAACTTGTTTTTTTTTTTTTCTCCTTTTCTCAAAAAAAATGGAAAAAAATTAAATAAATAAATAAATAAATAAAAAAGAACAGAAATACTTCCCCATGCAGGCTTGATTCTAATTCTAATTTATTTAAAACATTAGTAAAACTGCTGGGTTTTCAAAGGTTATTACAATGTAAAAGAAAATGTCACCATACTTTTTCTTATTTCTCTTTATTCATCAAAAATAAAGCTCCAAGAGTTAGGGAGACAATTCAGTGGGTAAAGTTCTAGCCTAGCAAGCATGTGGATCTGAGTTTGAATGCCCAGGCAGTGCATTCCTCTAACCCCAGCTTTGAGGTACTAAGACAGGTGGATTCTAGAAGCTTGCTGGCCAGCCAGTCTACCCCAAACAATAAACTCCAGGTTGAATGAGAGGTATTGTCTCAAAATAAAGTTGAATAGCAATAGAAAATGATGACACCCTATTATCAATAATCTGGCCTTCCATGCTCCTACATGTGCCTGTGTGGATGAGTGCACCTGCATGCACATTATACACACACAAAAGGAAATCAGTAGTTCAAACAAAAATGTCTAAAAATTAAAATTTATATTTCAAGGAATTGGTTTATATGGTCTCTTTTTTTATAACTAAATGTCTAAGAATTTGTAATATGAATGCAACTATGTGCTACCTTGAATGGCTGATTTTGTTACCCTATTGGGAGGCTTTATAAGGAATAATAACCTTAATCACTGACATTGTCAGTAGTGCAGCAGTGTTTGAAGACAGCTGTGTTTTTATTCACAAACAGAATATTTAAGAGTGAGTATAATTTCATATACTTAATGTATAAAACTTCGACATAGTCTTTTCTGATGGTCAAGCTTGCGTGCATTATCACACTATTAACTGTGTTTTTTCAGAAGGATGCCAGTTGCCCTGGAATCCTCCCTTCTGTTAATATAGAAGTTTTTAGATACTACAAGAAATCTAGTGGGAAAGATGAAAAGATATGACATTTAATAATATAGCTAATATAAGCTCTATGTATATTTGGCATATGAGTATCAGTAAAAAATGTCTTTTAAAAAGCTCTTTTAACAGGGAAAAACTTTGTCAGCTATTATAGAATCTTGGCAATAAAATTAAAGATAATATTGACTCTCTAATAGTTTGTATAAACTGATTTTAAAATCTTAGGTCTGAAAAAGTGAATTTAGGCTGGGCAGTGGTAGCGCATGCCTTTAATCCAGCACTAGGGAGGCAGAGACAGACGGATCTCTGAGTTCAAGGCCAGCTGGTCTACAAGAACTAGATCCAAGAGAGGCTCCAAAGCTACAGAGAAACCCTGTTTTTTTTTAAAAAAAAATGAATTTAGGGATAACAAGATGATTCATTGGGAAAAGGTTCTTGCTTCCATTCCTGAATCCCAGATTTATATAGTGGGAGAAGAGAAGCAGCCCCTCAAGTCGTCCTCTTACCTCCACACACATCCTGTGGTCAATGAGTACACATGCACAGAGAGTAATCTAAAATATCTAATGTAGTGATTGTTATGAAACAGGATAACACACGGAGATCAAAGAAATAGATTTGGATTCCAAAGCATTTGATGAAAATATTGTCTATTGGAGTATGCTTGACGTTTTTGATAAGTGTTAAGGAGATTCTTCTCCATGTGCCTCTCGTGTGACAGTGCTTATGCTAAGCTTCTGAGTCCTCAGGTTTCTGCAGCTGTCTTATCATAGAAATTTTCTTGTATGTCAAGTAAAAGGAACAGCCGCCTAGTTAATAATGTGACTCCTGCATCTAATTAATCCTAGGTAGAATCAAATTCTTTTGATATATAATTATCATATGACCAATTATGTGATTGCTATAACATGGTACATATAATATAGTTCTTTATTATTTGGGGCATTTATTGTGCCATTTTTAAAATGTGTTCCATACTTTTGGAGATTGATACAAATATGTAACTTAAGTTGATTTTTGCTTTACTGTATAGAAAAAAGTAAAAAGGGCAGATTTTTACAATTATTGGGTCTAGAACATTGATATTTCTGAGCTAGAAATTCAACATTAGAAAATGAAATTATATATATATATATATATATATATATATATATATATATATCCTGTTTAGTGCCAATGGACTCTCCTCTGCAACTACCATCGGCTGTTCTGTAATGCAATTTATGCTACACATTACTTAAAGTAGTAAGATGGTTTGCTGTGTGTCATGCACTGTGGTAGACACCAGCAGTGCAGCAGTATAAAATAAGTAGCAAACCTGTGATTAAGGCATTTGTATGCTACTGAGGGGTGTTTCAAACTGAACAGGCATGTTGAAATCGGTATGATAGTGGTATAATGTGAAGGTATGAAATCAACCAAACTATATGGCAGGGAGTTACACTTGGTAAGGTCAGAAGTTGGCATCAGTAGAAAACAATGTCTAAACCAAGAATTTAATCAGGATTCTTTCCACAGAAAAGAAAACATGGAAAAGGTCTAGACTCTGATGATTTTAATAAATACAGTTCATTTGGCTAGAATACAGAAGTTATACGTAGATTGTGGAGTACAAGAGCATTTCAGAGGCGTCTGAACACTAGGAAATGAATTGAGGCTTTACTAAGATCAGTGAGAAAACTTGGAGGATGTTTGTTTTGTTTTTGAGATGGGGTCTCAGGTGTAACCCAGGTGACCTTAAATTCATGAGCATCCTGTTTTAGCCATCCAAGTGCCAGGATTACCGGAATGTGTCACCATACCTATTGATTTGCAAGATTTTTGTTTGGTTGTTGTTCTGTTTGGTAGGTTTTGAGGGGAGGGTTGACTTTTTCACATGTATGTATGTAGTAACGGTATGAGCTGTGGTGCATACCAAGATAGAAGGATGATTTACCAGAATCAGTCAGCCTCGCTCTATCATGTAGAGATTCTGGGGATTTCAGGTTGTCAGACTTCTTAAACAGGTGCCTTTAACTGACTGAGTCATCTTGCAGACTCCATTTGCATGTGTTTTAAAGACAGGGTTTCATTAAGCCCAGGCTGGCCTCAAACTGCCTATGTAGCTGAGGATGATGACACTGAACTCTTGTTCAGTTTGTTGTTGTTGTTGTTGTTGTTGTTGTTATTGATTTTTATTGAGTTCTAAATTTTCTTTGCTCCTCCCCTAACTCTTCCCTCCCCTTCAACCCTCTCCCAAGGTCCCCATGCTCCCAATTTACTCAGGAGATCTTGTCTTTTTATACTTCCCATGTAGATTATATCCAAGTATATCTCTCTTAGAGTCTTCATTGTTGTCTCTGGGATTATGATTTGTGGGCTGGTTTTCTTTGCTTTATGTTTAAAAATCACCTATAAATGAGTACATGTGATTATTGTCTTTCTGTGTCTCAGTTACCTCACTCAAAATGATGTTTTCCAGCTCCACCCATATGCCTGCAAAATTCAAGCTGTCGTTATTTTTTTCTGTTGTGTAAATGTACCACATTTTCTGTATCATTCTTCTGTCGAGGAGCATTTAGGTTGTTTCCAGGTTCTGGCTATGACAAATAATGCTGCTGTGAACAATAGTTAAGCACATGTCCTTGTGGCACAATTGAGCATCCTATGGATATATACCTAAAAGTGGTATAACTGGGTCTTTAGGAAGGTTGTTTCCTAATTTTTCTGAGAAGTTGCCACACTGACATCCAAAGGGGCTGTACTAGCTTGCACTCCCACCAGCAACTGAGGAATGTTCCCTTTACCCCACAACCTCTCCAGCATAAGATGGACTCTCAGAGTTGTTTTGTTTTGCATTTCTCTGATGACTAAAGATGTTGAATATTTCCTTAAGTGTCTTTCATCCATTTTAGATTCCTCTGTTGTGAGTTCTGTGTTTAGGTCTATACTCCGTTGTTTTTATTGGATTATTTGTTCTTTTGATGACCAATTTCTTGAGTTCTTTGTATATTTTGGAGATTAGACCTCTGTCTGATGTGGGGTTAGTGAAGATCTTTTCTCATTCTATAGGCTGTCGTTTTCTCATTCTAAAGGACCATGTCCTTTGCTTTTCAGTTTCGGGAGGTCCCATTTATTAATTGTTTCTCTCAGTGTCTGTGCTACTAGGGTTGTATTTAAGAAGTGGTCTCCTGTGCCAATGCGTTCAAGTGTACTTCCCTTTTTCTCTTCTATTAGGTTCAGTGTGGCTATGTCTTTGATCCATTTGGACTTGAGTTTTGTGCATGGAGATAGATATGGATCTATTTTCATTCTTCTACATGTTGATATCCAGTTATGCCAGCACCATTTGTTAAATATGCTTTCTTTTTTCCATTTGATGTTTTTTGCTTCTTTGTTCAAAATCAGGTGTTCAAAGGTGTGTGGATTGATACTAAGGTCTTCTATTTGGTTCCATTTGTCCTCCTGTCTGTTTTTATGACAATGCCAGGCTGTTTTCAGTACTGTAGCTCTGTAGTAGAGTTTGAAGTCAGGGATTGTGATGCCTCCAGAAGTTCTTTTATTGCCCAGTATTGTTTTGGCTATCCTGGCTTTTTTGCTTTTCCAAATGAAGTTGAGTACTGTTCTTTCAAGGTCTTTGAAGAATTTTGCTGGGATTTTGATGGGCATTTCATTGAATCTGTAGATTGCTTTTTGGTAAGATTGTTATTTTTACTATGTTAATCCTGCCTACCCAAGAGCATGGGAGATCTTTCCACTTTCTGGTATCTTCTTCAATTTCTTTCTTCAAATATTTAAAGTTCTTATTATACAAGTCTTCTACTTGTTTGGTTAGAGTTACTCCGAGGTATTATATGCTATTGTGTCTATTGTGAAGGGTAATTTTCCTCTGATTTCTTTCTCGTCTTGTTTATCATCTGCATACAGGAGGGCTACTGATTTTTTTTTTAGTTAATATTATATCCTGCTACATTACTGAATGTGTTTATGAGTTGTAGAAGTTCCTTGGTAGAATCTTTGGAGTGGCTTATGTAAATTATCATATTACCAGCAAATAGTGAGAGTTTGACTTCTTTTCTGACTTATGTCCCCTTGATCTCCTTTTGGTATCATATTATTCTCTCTAGGACCTCAAGAACTATATTGAATAGATATGTAGAGAGTGGACAACCTTGTCTTATTCCTGATTTCAGTGGGCTGAGTGGGAGTTTCTCTCCATTTAGTTTGATGTTGGCCGTTGGCTTGTTGTATATTGCCTTTATTATGTTTAGGTATGTTCCTTGTATCCCTGCTCTCTCCAAGACCCTTATTATGAAGGGATGTTGGATTTTGTCAAAAGCTTTTTCGACATCTAATGAGATGATCATGTGGTTTTTATTTTTCAGTTTGTTTATGTGGTGGGTTACGTTGACAAATTTTTGTATGTTGAACCATCCGTGCCTCTGTGGGATGAAGCCGACTTGGTCATGGTGGATGATGGTTCTGATTTGTTCTTGGATTCGATTGGCCAGTGTTTTATTTAGTATTTTCACATCAATGTTCACGAGTGAGATTGGCCTATGATTCTCTTCCTTAGTAATGTCTTTCTGTGGTTTGGGTATCAGGGTAATTGTAGTCTCACATTTGAAGACTTTAGAACAAAAAGAAGCAAACTCACCCAAGAGAACTAGACAGCAGGAAATAGTCAAATTAGAGATGAAATCAACAAAATAGAAACAAAGAAAACAATACAAATATCAATGAGACAAAGAGTTGGTTCTTCCAGAAAATCAACAAAATAGACAAACCTTTATCCAAATTAACCAAAAGGCAGAGAGAGACTATCCAAAATCAGAAATAAAAAGGGGGACATAACAACAGACATGGAGGAAATACAGAGAATCATCAGGTCATATTTTGAAAACCTGTACTCCTCAAATTGGAAAACTTAAAGGATATGGACAACTTTCAGGACAAATATCACTTACCAAAGTTAAATCAAGACTAGATAAGCAAAATAAACAAACCTATAACTGCTGAAGAAATAGAAACATCATCAAAAGTCTCCCAACCGAAAAAAGCCCAGGACCAGATGGTTTCAGCTCAGAATTCTACAAGATTTTCAAAGAAGAGTTAATACCAAAACTCCTCAAATTATTCCACACATAGAGACACTGAACTCTTGACAGCTCTTAGTGCTGGGATTATAGGCATATGTGTTATTTTCAAGAGAATTTGCAATGAGGATATAATCATTGCATTTTCATGCGTTTTTGATGTTTTATGAGAATAGATTGGTAGGAAAAAGTAGAGATAAGGGCTCCCTGGGAGCTGGGAACTACTGTAAACCAAGCTAGCATTGATCTATATTATTATATAGAAGAATAGTTCCATCACTATTGACCTGTTCCAAATTCAAATGAGAAAAAGAGAATAATAGCAGTGGTACCTGAGTTTCTATAGTTAGGCCAAGAATCAAGATAGAGGTTGCCACTGTCACTGGTGGTTCCAGTTATCTTGTATTCCTGATCCTGTGTCCATCCAGTGGTAGGCAATATTATGATATTTTTGACATCTTTGGGCAGTATATAACCTGGTTTATCTTTTGATGTTTTAAAATTATGTCTTTTTGGTATTTGAAGGTACCCTGAATATATTCTTCACAGTGATTTTATGAAATTAATTTTGCAGGTTCAGAAAGCGCTTCCCCAATACATTCAGCTCTGGGATCCCGGTCACAGACACCTTCCCCATCTACACTAAATATAGATCACATGGAACAGAAGGATCTGCAGCTCGATGAGAAGCTCCACCACTCCGTTCTGCAGACACCAGATGATCTAGGCAATGTTTGCAACTCAGATATTTGCTGTTCTTACAGAGTACTAGTATCAGAACCTAAGTCATCTTAGATGTGATTATTTATACTTATTTAAAGTCTTTGAATTTTCTGAGTCTTCTGTTGCTTTTCTTGCCCTTAAAAGGGGCTATTATTCTTATAGATTTGTTTTGCTTTGTTTGTTTGTTTTTTGTTTTTTTTTCATTTTATCATAGTCTTAAACATTTTTTATAATTAAGGCTTTTAATTGGGGATAGTGATTGCACTATTTGGGGTTGTTTCATTTATTGATATGATATTTGTCCTTTCCCTCTCCCTACCCCCCCCATCCTTCCTTCCCTCTCTTTCTTGTTTTGAGACAGAGGCTCACTGTGTATACCTAAGTGGCCTGGTCTAGAACTCACAGTGAGTTCTGCTGCCTCTGCCTCACAATTGCTAAAATTAAAAGTGTTTCACCATGTCTGGTTCCTTGTTTAAATTTTGACTTTGAGACAGGGTTTTGCACTGTAGTCCAGGTTGGCCTCTAACTCCTTCGGCCTCAGCTTCCTAAGTGCTGGAGTTCTAGGTGTGCTCACTATGTTTCAGGTCTCTTAATACTGTACTTGAATACATTGCTCACTCACAGGAGGAAGTAGTAGTACTATCTTTTGACAGCCAAACTTTCAGTAAAACAATTTGTCAAATTAGTAGTTTTATCTTTTTTTAAAAAAAATAAAGGGAACTGAAATCCTGCATAGTATAAAAAGCATCAGATAAATACTTGGCCACATATTTTGAAAATTAGTTAATGACGTAGTTGACCAAATATTTATTTATAAGTCATAGTAAAAGCCCATTTTTTATTATCCATATATCACATTTATTCTTATTAAAGGAAGAATTGAAAGGTGCTTAATTCCTGGACTACTTTAAAGGGCTCATTCCATTATATATATATATATATATATATATATATATATATATGTTCCTGAAATTACATTAATTTGTTTTTCTATTTATTGTTGGTATTCTGTTTTTATTGAAAATAGATTCTTCTCTTTTTTTTATAAATATTTATTTATTTATTATGTATACAATATTCTGTCTGTGTGTATGTCTGCAGGCCAGAAGAGGGCACCAGACCTCATTACAGATGGTTGTGAGCCACCATGTGGTTGCTGGGAATTGAACTCAGGACCTTTGGAAGAGCAGGCAGTGCTCTTAACCACTGAGCCATCTCTCCAGCCCTAGATTCTTCTCTTATACAATACATACTGACCACAGCCTCCACTCAGCCTAGAACCCTCCCACTTACCCTTTCCCAGATCCACTTCCCCTACGTTTCCTCTTCAGAAAAGAGACAGCCAAACAGGACAAAACAAGATATAATAAGACAAGGCAAAAGCACTCATATAGAGGCTGGAGAAGGCAATCCAATTGTAGGAAAAGAGTCCCAAGATCAGACAAAAGAGTCAGAGATACACCTGCTCCCACTCTTAGGAGTCTCACAAAAACACCAGGCCGACAGCCATAATGTATGCACAGAGAGCTTTGTGCATATTGCATGCTGGCCCTGTGCTAACTGCTTCAGTCACCGGGAGCCTATGTGAACACTGTCTAGTTGATTTGCTGGGCCATGTTCTTCCTGGTATACTCCATCCCCTCTGACTCCTACAATCCTTCCTTTCCCTGTTCTCCTGGGGTTTCCAGATCTCTGAGGGAAGGGATCTGATGTAAACCTCCAATTTAGATTCTCTCTTTACAAAATGTCTGGCTGTGGGTCTCTCTGTATACTGCTGGAGGAAGCCTCTCTAATGATGGCTGGACAACCATCTATGATACATATATCTCATATCTGTACTCATAGATGGTTTCAATCTATGAGTACAGCACCAATCTATGAGTACAGCAGAATATTATTAGGAATTATTTCAATGATTTTATTATTTGTTTGTTTGTGTGCCAGTTGTTTGGTCTCTGGGCTATCCAGTCTCCTGTTCACGGCCATCCAAGCAGTATAAGACACTGACTCCCTCTCATGGCATAGGCCTCAAGTTAAACCAGATGTTAGCTGAGTACTCCCACAAGTTTTCTATCACCACTGCCCGAGCACATCTGGCAGGCTAGATAGATTGTAGGTGGAGGGTTTTGTGGCTGGGTTGGTATCTCTTTTTCTAGCCTGCACAGTACTTTCCTGCACTAAAGAGATTAGAATGTAGAGGTAAAGGCTCCAAGATGCAAGGCCAACTCAATCTCTCGACTTTTCACTGAGCTGTGTGGATGTTGCCCTCTGCAATGGTGTCTTGCTGTCAGTTTTCGGAGAATGATCTTCTATTCTAGCATCAGCCTAGGTTTCAGGGATCTCCACAAGACCCCTTTGGCCAACAGCTCAACCAAATACAACCCAGTCCCACCACTGGAAGCCTTGCCTGGCTACAAGATGGCCAGTTCAGACACCATATCCTCCATTACTAGGAGTCCTCACTAGCTCTACCCTCATAAATTCCAGGAAGTTTCCACTGCACTAGATTTCTACACTGCCTCCAATGCCCCCCAGTTTCAGTTGTCTCTCCCTGCACTGTCTCCCTCTACTCCCCGCATATACCTGATCCTTCCCTTTCCAGTTCCCACCTGCAAAATCTGTTTCTTCTTCCTAAAGAGGTCCATGCAGCCCCTGTAGAGTAAAGGGCTCATTCCTTAGCATGCAGTTATATGTTTCTGCTTTGTGGATTATGGTGACCTTTAACATTTGTTTGTATATTGTTTTCCTACCATTTGGAAGAAAAATTTTAAATTACAAGAGAGTTAACATGACTAGTTAAAAAATCCATAAATCATTCAAATAAATTTTACCAGGCTGTTACTATTTTGCTGGTTTATACCTGTTTTTCCATATAAAATTAAAATTTTTAATATTTTATACCTGTAAACTTAAGTAGATCTGTCCGATTAATATAGGCATACTTCCCTTATAGCCACAGTGTATTAGCTTCACTCACAATATTTAACATCAATTGCTGGTCTCTTAACTGTAGTATTTTCCTCAGTTATCTCATCAATGGCATTTGTAGCTGCCCCATACAGCTTGATCCAGATTGTAACTAAATACTGTTTATTATTTCTTGCCCTCTTAGTTATTTAATATTTTGTAGTTTACTTTGTGAAAGTTAAGTCAGAGACAAATGAATTGATTCATCTCAATATTCATACACATACACACACACACACATGTATAACACATACACACACATGTATAAAGAATCTGTAGAGGGGGCTGGAGAGATGGCTCAGCGGTTAAGAGCATTGCCTGCTCTTCCAAAGGTCCTGAGTTCAATTCCCAGCAACCACATGGTGGCTCACAACCATCTGTAATGAGGTCTGGTGCCCTCTTCTGGCCTGCAGGCATACACACAGACAGAATATTGTATACATAATAAATAAATAAATATTAAAAAAAAAAGAATCTGTAGAAGCCGGGCGGTGGTGGCGCATGCCTTTAATCCCAGCACTCGGGAGGCAGAGGCAGGCGGATCTCTGTGAGTTCGAGGCCAGCCTGGTCTACAAGAGCTAGTTCCAGGACAGGAACCAAAAGCTACGGAGAAACCCTGTCTCGAAAAATCCAAAAAAAAAAAAAAGAATCTGTAGAACAGGAAGACATTACAACTCTATGTGTTAGAACTCAGTCTCTTTCTTTTGATATACTTACTGGCTTTATACTGAATGCCAATTTTTAATCTGAAGATTAACTATATAATACCTTTTAAATGTTATTAGTTATTGTATAATTTACATACAAAGAGAAAATTTAAGCATTATAAATATAAGATAAATTTCTTGCAAAAATGGACCAACTATAAATTATCAATATATTTGGAATATTATCAAATATGAAAGATCCTATTTAAGTTGGGAGATGGTGGCACATACCTTTAGTCCCAACATTCAGGAGGCAGAGGCAGGTAGATCTCTTAAGTTTGAGGCTAGCATGGTCTACAGAGTGAGTTCCATGACAGCCAGGGCTACACAGAAACAACCCCACCCCCGCCAAAAAAAAAAAACGGTTAAAATTCATTTTGTCCATAAAACGTTTAGTTTCTTAAGTGCATTAGCTGCAAGGACATTAACATTTTTGTTTATTTTTGTTTACCTGTTTACTGCAGGGTCTCATTGTGTAGCCTAAGCTAGCCTTGAACTCTCTTGAAACAAAAGTCCAGGCTGACCTTGAATTGGCAAAGATCCTTCTGCCTCAGTTTTGCTAAGAGCTTGGATTACAGGCCTTAGGCACCATTTACACTTTCTTATAATTTCCTATACAATTGTATGCATGTAATAATGGATTTTTTAAGCTGTAAAAAAAAACTAGCAAAACTATCTATTTTATAAGTGAGGAAGTATAGCCTTAAGTAGTTAAAATAATTTGTTTAACGTGGTTAGTGGCAGAAATGAGACAAAGATCAAGATTGCCTGTATTTATTACTTTTCACCTTTTTAGTATTAAAGATAAAAAACATAGTTATGCTGGACAGTGGTGGCATGAGGCAGAGGCAGGAAGATCTCTGAGTTTAAGCCCAACTTGAACATGGTCTATAGAACTAGTTCCAGGACAGACAGGGCTATACAGAGAAACTGTGTCTCAGAAAACAACAACAACAACAAAAAGGCTTAATTACACTATTATTATGTTCAAATTTTAGTTCAAGTATCTTTTTTATGTTGTGATACTTCTTTCATTGTTACTGTTTGCATACTCTAGCTTCAAAGAAATTGGCTTATGAAGACTTCCTACAGGAATTACTTTTAGCCTAAAATTTTCTTCTTGATTATATAGTCTAGTTATTATATAGAAGTGAGAGTGTGTGCTTATAAAATTGATATTTTATAATACTATCTCTATCACAGGCTGGCAAGATGGCCCAGTGAGTAAGAGCACTGTAGCACCAGCCCCAGCACCTGCCTTCAGTCCCCAGACCCACAGTGTAAGAGGAGAACCACCTCTACACATGCGTGCTCTCTCACACATATATCACGTATATATGGATAATAATTTCTCCTTTTGGTAGCTGTACAATAAGTGCTAGTTGCATATTTTTCTTCAGTAAATCCCAATAAAAACCCTATTACATAGGGAATTATGTATTGGAAAGATTTTGGCATCAGAAAAAGTTACTTATATTTACATTCCGTTAGTTCAGATTTGTAGATATTTGAGATTATTCACTTAAGTTGTCTCTTTCAGGTACTAACACTATTGTGTTTTTTTTTTCTTTAGAAATCAGTGAATTTCCATCTGAATGCTGTAGCGTAATGGCAGGAGGTACTCTCACTGGGTGGCATGCTGATGTTGCTACTGTTATGTGGCGAAGAATGCTGGGCATTTTGGGAGATGTCAATGCTATTATGGATCCTGAAATACATGCTCAAGTTTTTGATTACCTCTGTGAACTTTGGCAGAATCTAGCCAAGGTGAGAAAAAAAAGGCTATAAGAGGAAATGGAAAGAAAAATAAACTATTAATAAATAGAAGAAGGCTGGTTGTGGTGGTGCACACCTATAATTCTGGCACTTGGAAGACTGAGACAGGGTAGAAGCCATGCTAGGCTACATAGCAGGCTCCGTACAAGCCCTATCTATTCTGTCTGAAGAAACAACAAGCATCCCTCCACCTCTCCCCAACAAAAAAAGAAGAGGCGTTTGAGAACATAATTACAACCTTGATCTTGCTTTGAATTAAACAAATGCTCAACATGAAGTCACTTGGCCATAATTAGCCGTAATGAAATAGATTGTTATGGTAGAGACTGGATTTGACTTCTGTTTAAGGTAAAACAACTAAAAGAAGAAATAGTTTTAATACATGTTTGTTACTGTTTATTTGAAAATTATAGATCAGAGATAATCTTGGCATTTCAGCAGATAACCTGACTTCACCTTCTCCACCTGTTTTGATTCCTCCATTAAGAATTCTTACACCTTGGCTTTTTAAGGTAAGCTTGACATATAAAACATTATTCTTTACTAAGTTAATCTTGAGCAACTGATAGAAATTTTAAACAGTTATTTGGTCTTCAGAACACTTAGTTTGTAGCCAGTATCTTTAAGAAATTTTACATAGAAAGGAGAGTTATGCATAACAGAATTACATTTTTATTTGCTTGTTTATTTATGTAATCAAGCAAAAGTAAGTGTAGAAAAGTATGCCAAAAATTTTTTAAAATGTACTTATTTTTATTCATTTTCCCCTGTTAGGGATCTAACCCACAGCCTTGCATGTGCTAGACAAGTGCTGTAGCACTGAGCTATATCCACAGCTCTAGAGGAGGCTGTCTTCATTGTATTTAGAGAAAAATAAAGCACAAACTAGTTCCTAGTCCTGACTTCTAGCTGGGTAATAGAATTGGACCAACAAAGAAATATATGAAAACAGATATTGCTTATTATATTTGATTGTTTAAATATTTATAAACAATATTTGGTTTTTAGTATTAAAACTGATTTCTTCATTTTAGGCAACCATGTTGACTGATAAGTATAAACAAGGTAAATTACATGCATATAAACTTATTTGTAATACAATGAAGAGAAGACAAGATGTATCTCCAAACAGAGATTTTTTAACACATTTCTACAATATAATGCATTGTGGATTGCTTCACATTGATCAGGTAAATATGTGTACCTACTAAAACATTGTTTTATCAGCTGTGATAGTTAGTGTTAGTTGTCAACTTGACAAAAATTAGAATCACATAGGAGATGGGCCTCTGAGCATGTCTGTGAGAGATTGCCCTGACTACATTAACTGAGATGGAAAGACCTGCCCATGTGAAGGGCACCATTTCCTGTGCAGAGTATCCTGGACTGTATAAGATAGAGAAAGGAAGCTGGGGACGGCATGAATTCACTCATTGCTCTCTTCTATCTGTGCACGTAGTGTGCCCAGCTGCTTCAAGTTCTTGTTACTATGGCTTCTCTGCAGTGATGGACTGGAACCTAGAGGTCTGGGTTAAGCAAACCATTTCTCTCTTGAGTTGTTTTGTTTAAAGTATTTTATCACAACAACAGGAAAGAAAACTAAGACATTGGTTTTTAATTATGCCTAACTCTTGCTCTAGAAGATGTAGAGTTAAAAATGTCTTTCATATGTAGCAATTTATTTATAATTCATTTCCACTTTATGACCTCTTTTATTCTTGAAAGGTGATTGAAAACAAGCTATTGCAGTACTTAATGCACTGATGTCAGTATTCAGTTTTTTATTATTGTATTATTTTTTAAAACAATCTTTTTTAATTTTACATACCAATCCCAATTCCCCATCTTTTCCCTATTCTCGTTCCTCCCACCTTCTCCCCACCCCAGCTCTCATCCACTCCTCCAAGAGGGTAAGGCCTCCCCATGGGAAATCAAAAAAGTCTGTCACATCACACTGAGGCAAGATCAAAGCACCACCTTTCCCCCTTATCTAGGCTAAGCAAGGCTCACTCCATAGGGAATAGGCTCCAAAAAGCCAGTTCATGCACTAGCGGTAATTCTCGGCCTCACAGACTGCCCAAGCCTTACAACTTTAGCTTTCACATACTAACCAATTTACTTTTTGAAGAGATTAAACCATCCTTTGGTTACGTTGGTTTTTCTTAATATTCCAATGTGTCTATTTTTAAGCATTTTATAATTAATTCTTAATCGACATTTGAGGCATATGAATTTGCTCACCTTTTCATACAGCAATCATAAGGTTTATTCTACTCTAAAATTTACCTCATATTTTCTTATTACTAAATTACATTGCCATAATGATAATTACATTAACGTGGGAGCTGTATCATTTATGATCATTGAATAATCATAGATAAGATTCTAGGACACATATTTGAGTGATCTTGATCTTAGTTGGAAAAATAAAAAGTGTGGAAGAGTACTGTAATTTGTTTAAATGTCCATTGGAGAACACTAATATTCAAAGCTGATAGTTATATTTCTTTCTGAGAAAATGAGAAAACTTTCTTCATTAATTTAAAAATAATTGTAGTGTCCAAACCTTATAAACATATCTCAAATACTATTACGTACTTACTACTATAAAAGTAGAGTTTTCCTTTAAGGTCAGTCATATTTAGTGGAAGGATGACTGGTTGGAGAAGGGGATCAGTAGGAGGAGGTGGGGCAATGACAAGAACGGGTTCAGGGTGAATATGACCGGAGTATACTATGTACCCATGTGACAATATCATAATAAAACATATTATGTTGTTGCAGGGGGCTGCTTGTTCATCCTGGCCACCCGACAGTTCAGCCCCGAAATAATCACACAGAAACCATATTATTTAAATCACTGCTTGGCCCATTAGCTCTAGCTTCTTATTGGCTAACTCTTATATATTAATTTAACCCATCTACATTAATCTGTGCATCACCACAAGGTTGAGGCTTACCAGCAAAGTTTCAGCGCCTACCTAAGTTCTGCACTATCAACAGGCCAAGGCAGTTTCTTTAACTAATGGTATTCACAGCATATAGAAGGGAACTCCACATCAATGTATAATCAACATAGGCTAAACCTTTCCTGAAAAGTCACATTGAACAATACAACCAAATGCACTGCATCTTTCCTGGCAAATCCAGAATCATAATGCCATATTAAGAATATTCACTTCAAAACACCTACCTTTAGGTTTCTGAAGCTATATATCTATTATTCAAGGACTTCCACTTTCTCCAGTTGCCACATAGCAGATCACATAGGTTCAGTGTAGATGTAGGGTGTGAATTTTCACACAGAAGCAACTAGGTGGCTGGAGAAACTGCTCTGTAATTTTTGGAAATGTGGGGCTAAAATTTGCTGTGAAGCAAAGAGCCCTCCTTGCTTTCTAATGTGGAAAAGAAAGTTCTATCGTTGATGTCATTTAATCAGATATGTTTTAAGTTTACTTTCCTAACAGAATATATGAAACACATATTAATTGGAAGAATTAAAATTAGTCTTTCCAGGTAGTCAATCAGTATATTTTTTATTTCACACTTTACCTATTTTTAATGAAATTGATTAGCTGATACCCAATAATACATATGTGATATCTTTCTTTCCTTTTTTCCTTCTTCTAAGGACATTGTCAATACAATCATCAAGCACTGCTCACCTCAGTTTTTTTCACTTGGTTTGCCTGGTGCCACAATGCTGATTATGGATTTTATTATAGCAGCTGGGAGAGTGGCTTCTTCAGCTTTTCTTAATGTAAGTCCTTATTTCTAGTTCTTTTAAGGTAATAAACTCTATTGATCAAGACTCAGCTCACAAAGCAACAAAAAGTGTTATTGCTGATAAAATATAACAAATTTATTTCCAGGAAAGTTTAGCATTTATTTGGAATTGATTGCTTCTCCCACATTAAAAAGAAAGAAATTCTGATGTGTTAAGAAATCAATAAAATTAGTTGGTGAATTGCCCCCAAGAGCTATAAAAAATGGTTTACATCTGATAGAAAAAAAAAGATTTAAAATGGGGACATGTAGGGAATGAGGGACGGAAGTGAAGAAAGGGTTGCAAGTTACTGAAAAAGATAAGGAACCATGGAGAGTAATTATTACTGCATGTTTATTAAATCATCACGTTTTTTAATGAGAATTTTTATTTGACAATTAAAATTTTAATATAAAGAACAAACATTTATGGGACAACCCAGAAATGTGCCCTTGGAGTAACCTTTACATGTTAAGAAGCTGTGAGATAATTGCACAGAAACAAGGGTAGGTGGACTGTTTCCTATGTAAGTAGCAGAAGTGAGCTAGCTAGAAAGATAGTAGCTGAGGATGTAGTGCTAGCATGGGTTAGATTTTCTCTAAGGAAAATTGAGTCATCATTTAAGGAAACATGATCAAATGTGTATTTTAGAAAGATCACTTTCTAATGTCCTGTTAGAAAAAATATTAGGGTATATGGAAGAGAAAATACTGGCATACAATTTCAAAGAATGCATAACCATTTAATAGATTATTTCTGTTTTGCAAAAGCCCAACAGTGAATGAGAAAAGTGCTGTTTGTGGCCTGATGTAAGGTGTGTATTGGATACTGATGAGAGGTCAAGAGAGATGTTTTAGAAGTATTTTTAAAGCCCTGAACAGGAATACAATTGATCACCCAGAGGAAATGTCCAACTGAAAAGGAAAAAAAAAACTGCATTTCTAGACAGTTTTGTTTCCACTGTTCCTGGAAAACATTCACAGTGTCTTGTATCTTGGTATCACCAGGGTCTAGCACAGAGCAGTGCTTAGTAGATACTGCTGAAAATGTTAAGTACTTATCCAGTATCAGTATATGCTCAACATTGTGCTTAGACTTTGGTGGTTTATGAACTTTGTCTTCATTTTATATATGCAGAGGATGGTCTAAAGAGGAACAGGAACTTGTCCTTTCTTATCACTGAAAGCATAGTCAGCACAACAACATGCACTATGGTCTGGGTGCTCATTAGCAATACTAAAGTACTGAATCAGAACCTAGGTTGTGATGAGATTATAGATGATGAATGACATCATTGGGAGATGCATCTTAGTATGTTTTAAGTGCTATGGACCACGTTATAGTGCTATACTGACTTAAAGAAATACTTTAAAATAAGTAAAGAGATAATTAAACTGTCTTGAGAATATTAAATAAATATATTACTTTTGGAGTAGATTACATGGAAAATAAACCAAAGGTGAAACACAAGCTACAAGTCCATTGTAGTATTACTACAGTACCCAGATAATCAGCCTCTTAGACTGGCAAAAGTTGATAGAACTCAAAGGAGATTGATATTCATATAACTGTCACTTCTTATTAAGTTACTGTGAAAACTTTTCTTTATCAATGAACCAGTTACTCCAGATTACTAAGCATATTTTCTGCAACTTCTCTCAAAGTTCTGTAGAAATAAACCCTGATGCTTTTTATGTGACTAACTTTCCTCCTCTACATCTAGATATTGGTTATATAACAGCATCCTTTGGATAATGCAAGCAACAGCCCCTTTCTCTGCTAATTCGCATGCTGCCTATTACTGAGGAAGGCTACGTAGAAACCAAATCATTATAAGAAAGCAGTTGGACACTCACATGTGCCCTGTAAGGTTAGAGGCAGTCTTCCTCTGGATGGTGTTAAAAATACTAATTTCAGGTCTTGGCTCTTTCAATTCTCATTTTAGATCCCATCCATATCATCTCTCATTGTTAATGATTCCTTCCTTCCTTAAGCAGATTACAAGTGATTGAATTTTTTCTTTCTTAACTATTACATAATCACTTGTTCCTGTTGTAGCTTCATATTCAGACATTACAGTTACCTTACCCAACCTTTAGCTAAATATCGAGTTTTTAAAAATTAGTTCTATTTGTATAGGATAGTTTTTATTTTATATTTTTTATTGATTTTTATTGAGCTCTACATTTTTCTCTGCTCCCCTCTTTGCCTCTCCCCTTCAACTCTCTCCCATGGTCCCCATGCTCCCAGTTTATTCAGGAGATCTTGTCTTCTTCTACTTCCCATGTAGATTAGATCCATTTATGTCTCTCTTATGGTCCTCATTGTGGTCTAGGTTCTCTGGGATTGTGATTTGTAGGCTGGTTTTCTTTGCTTTATGTCTAAAAGTCACTTATGAGTGAGTACATATGATAACTGTCTTTCTGAGTCTCGGTTACCTCACTCAAAATTATGGTTTCTAGCTCTATCCATTTGCCTACAAATTGAAAGATGTCAATTTTTTCTGCTGTGAAGTACTCCATTGTGTAAATATACCACATTTTCCTTATCCATTCTTCAGTCAAGGGCATTTAGGTTGTTTCCAGGTTCTGGCTATGACAAACAATGCTGCTATGAACATAGTTGAGCACATGTCCTTGTGGCACAATTGAGCATCCTTTGTATATATACCTAAACTCAAAAAAATCAGTAACCCTCCTTTACACAGATGATAAATGGGCTGAGAAAGAAATCAGAGAGACATCACCCTTCACAATAGCCACAAATAGCATAAAATATCTTGGTGTATAGGATAGTTTTAAAGCAGGGTGGTAGATGTCGATTTACTCTGCCCTTTCAAACCTGTAAGTCTAGATTGTCTTTCAATCTGGACATGAAGTGTTTTGTCTTTTGTTGTGTTGTTTTGTTTGAGATAGTGTCTTTCTGGTCGTACAGGCAGGCTTTCAGCTTGCAATTGTTCTGCCCCAGCCTCTTTAGGGTGGGGATTTTGATATACTCTAACAGGTCCTGTAAAAATGAGCTGTTCTGTTCTGTTGAAAGTCATATAAGCTTAAGTCATACTAAGATGAAAATCTTTTAGACACTGAGTCTTGATTTATGTGAATGGAAATACTGTGTTGCTAATATACTGGTGTTTCACATTTTTATTAAGTATTCTTAAACCTAAAAACAATTAGTCTGTAAATTAATGCTTTGGTCCCTGTTTGGTGGACATGCAAGAGGGCAGAAGAGGAAATGTTCAATATTGATACTTAAGAGATGACTTAATAAAATGAAAGACAACATGAAATACTTCTTATGATTTATGTTGACGTGAATTATAATGTTAGTAAATATTAAGGATAGTGGTTTTGTTCATATACATAAAAAGATAAAAAAAACATCTATTCTGGTACCTATTTCTTAAAGACAGAATTAACATTTTAATCTCTTCTTATGCACTCTAAAGTAGTGACATCAAGTCATTAACTTATTTGAACAATAGGTAGTGAAATATGAACTACATTTAAAGTAATTTAGTCAGGCATGGTTGCACATGCCAATAAGCCCTGCACTTAGGATGCCGAAATAGGAGAATCGCAATTTCAAGACCAGCCTGTGCTACAAAGTGAGTTTAGGGCCAGCTTTGACTATGTAGCAAAACCCTGACTCTAAATAAATAAGGAAATAAAATATTTTTTTCTTTAATCATGTTAAATGTATTCTGGTTACCATCTTATGTTCCTATTTAAATGTCATTAGCTGCAGATAGTTTCTGTTTATTGGTTGCTTTTAAAAAAACATTTTGCTATTTGTCCATTGTATTTACTGAGAATAATTATACTCTCTTTAGAAGTTCTAAATGGAAACTTAAATCTTTTATTACATTCCCCTTTGAATCATTGAATGCTCTCACTGCCCTGTATAATGTAATTCTAGAACAAAATATTTAATGGTAGAACAAAATATTTACTGGTAGTTTAAGAACACAGCTAGCATTTTATAGAGTGTTTACATCTGATACACAGGCACCAAGAGTGGAAGCACAAGTTCTTCTGGGATCCTTAGTTTGCTTTCCCAACTTATACTGTGAACTGCCTGCTCTCCATCCCAACATCCCTGAGATTGCTGTGTCTCAATTTACAGACGTTAAGGTAAGAAATCAGATGCTAGTATTTAGCATATATGATGAAATCTGCCATCTCTCTTTTCTTTTTGAAATCTAGTTACTAAAGAATGTTAATATTCCAGTCATAAATCTCGAATGTCTGCTAGGAACAAAGCCTTTTTAAGGTTTAAACCTGAAAACTTTGAAACCTGTTCTCATTATCGAGTCTACTCACATGTCTGTCCCTTAGGAGTCATTAATTCACTCACTGAATATGTGACCCAAGACTAATACAAGACTTCTCAGATTGAGATGTCACACTAAAACTAAATGTTTTAATTTCCACTTTCTATTCTTGATAGAACTTTATTGTTTTGTATGAAATATGGAATATCTCCTGTACTTTAAGTATTAAAGGGGCTTGCACATTCATCAGGAACAGGCATGACAAATGACACTTGTGATTGTACACTTCTCAAAGTTTTCAGGTTAGAAAACTAGTGAAGAGTAATTCTAAGCCTCTGTTTAAAGAGGAAATATGATTTGATTGCATGTTTGGTCCTATGACTCAATGCCTCTTAGACCAAGGTAGAGGAGGCTGGCGTGAAAATTCTCCCGTTAAGGTTCTGGGCTCAGCAATGTGAGCCCTAGTGAACAATTCTGTGACTAGGTCATTGTCTCTGACTATAGGCCTGTGTACTCTCAATGCCCAAGGGCTTAGCACTCCTGTTGATAAAATGTGCTGTGACAGTAACTAACTTGGTCTTTAGCCTCAGAAGAGCTGAGGAGAAGACACTGTGGCTCCTGGGGGATCATGCTGATGCTTTATTTTTCCAAGTTGCTTTTACTGAAAGTTTTGAGTTGAATTTCATCTTAAGCATTTAAAATTGTTTTTACTTAGTATATAGAGTATGGGTTTCATTTGTAGGGATAAGTCCTGCCCCTTAGGGGGCATGTTCGCCTCGGGCTAATGTTTACCTATAAATCTGGTGAGCATGCTCGCAGCTTGCTTCTGCTTTCCTTGTCTCCTTGGGAACGGTGGTTCTGTAAGTCTATTTCGCCATTAAAGCTGTATATATTTTTACAATCTGTCTGCATTCGTTTACGCCGTTACATTCATTATAGCATATTTTGAGCTGTTTTGAGACAAGGTCTCACCAAGTATCCTAAACTGGCCTAGAATCCACTCTGCAACCCAGAGTGTTTTTGAACTGGTAGAGATTCTCATGCCCTCGCCTCCCAAGTACAGGTATCACAGGCTTATAGCACCAGGAATACCGTTGGAAGATAACTTTTTAATTTGTTTTGTGTTTTTAGACGAAGATTTCCCTGTGTAGCCTAGACTAGCTTGGACCTTGTGATCCTTCTCCCTTTGCCTCTGGCTTCTGAGAGCACAAGCATGACACAACGCCTGCATGTTCTGTGGTCTTTCTGTCATACTGATTTGTTTCCTTAGATAGATAAGTATAAATGGGATTGCTTAGAGTGGAATGGCTGTTTTAACAATATTAATACTTCCAAGAAATTAACTACCATTTCTTTCCAGGAATAAATTCTATTTAATCATGTACAGTTTTTTAAAAATGTACTGCTCAGTTTGGTATAGAATACTAGTAATTTTTTTGAAAACTTTTCAAAAAATAGAGTGGTATCTGTATGGATTTGGGTATTCAGATAATGAAGCCTCATGAAATGAGAATGAAGATGTACTTGTTTCTTCAGATTTTAAAAGGGTTTGATAAAAATTGGCCATTGAAGCCATCTGGCCCTGCTGTTCAAATACTATATCTAAAAAACATTTAAGGTATTCATGCCTTTTAGGTATCAGTTCTGTTGTGTAATGATTCTTTATTATTCTCCTAATCATGAAAAAAGTTATTTTTAAAGATACTTTAGTTATAAATTTCAGGATTTGTTATCCACCTGAAGGCGTAAGTCACAAACAATGCCACACCAGTTTGGAATTATGATTAATAGGGTGGTATTTATTTAAAGGGGAAAAAACTTACAGATCACTGTTCCAGGCAACAGCCCTTTATGCAACCAGGAAGGGAGTCTAGTCGCCAGCGGAGCAGGAAGTGAAGAGAGAGAGGAGAGGGAAGTGGCCGCTTTTTTAAAGGGAGAGAGACCACGCCCCAATGGGCTGGTATCTCAGCAGCTATAGGCTGGAGGAGTGGAAGGACCTCCCGCAACACCTCCCCATTTTGTTTAAATAAGAGAGTTCTAAACCTACTATGAAATTATATACAATAAGTACAAATATCCTATTCTAACTAGCTTGGTCTTATATAATAAATAACTTGGCCAACTCATGAGAGAAAGTAACTACATTTATATAATCTTCAACCCCATCGAAGATCTGAGAAGGGAAATAATGTTACCTGGGTAATTAGGAAGTTCAGTAAAACAACTTCCAAAACATGCAACAAATCACAGAGACAACTAGCTACCTGGGCAATCACCCAAAGTCACATTAGCAGCGTTGAAGCAACCAACTTTGGCTAAGGCCTAACATAACTGACAAACCATTTTCTAAGGCAAGCAACTTTTCAAAACTATCTTACCCTGTCTTGGCAGGATATGACAGTCCTGTTTTATCCTTTGATGCACGCTCTGTATCTTTGTCAGTCGTTGAGGTATGGGCATTTCTTTGCCCAAAGGCCAGTTCTGCCAAAAAGAAAGGCTCCAGGTGGAGTGTCTTTGGTGCTCAACATTCTCCCGGGAATAGAGTGCTGTTGCCAGGAGCAATTGTGTCTCACTACCACAAAACTCTGAGTTAGATTAAAGGCCATTTTCTTTTTCTTTTTCTTTTTTTTTTTTTTTTTTTGGTTTTTCGAGAAAGGGTTTCTCTGTGGTTTTGGAGCCTGTCCTGGAACTAGCTCTTGTAGACCAGGCTGGTTTCGAACTCACAGAGATCCGCCTGCCTCTGCCTCCCAAGTGCTGGGATTAAAGGCATGCGCCACCACCGCCCGGCTCTAAAGGCCATTGTCTACAGCTCTTTGAAGAAGTTGAAGATTATCTATCTATACTGAGTATAATCTCTATATATCTAAAGAACCTGATTAGTCTAATTATAAATGACAAACTTAGATGACTATTAATCTATATAATTCTCAATATCTAACTTAAAGACTAGGAAAATAAACGACTGTGAAACAAATGAGGACAGTGACCTCCAAATATAAACAATGTACAAATATACATTGCAGTAGATAAATATATATCAATACACAAATATTATATAAGTATCTTAATCAGAGGTAGAAATGTACACTGCAATATGGTAAATATATACAATATATATATCAATACAATATATGTCAATACATAAAAAATGTTTTAAACAGAGGTAGAAACATGCATGCATACAATAGTCAATATAATTTAACATTGTATCAATATACAAGAATCTATACCAATATATTTGTCTAAAAACAGTAACTCACAATTAAAAATCTATTATCCCATCATCCCTCTTTTTTTTTTCAAAATGATCCCTGTGCTTATAAAATTCCTCCCCCAACCCTCAATCATATACTAATTATAATCAACCCATAAATGATGTCCCTAAACCCAAGGGCAAACTTTACTGGGAGAGGGGACGTCGTCCTCTAGAATTACTTCCAGCTGTCATGGGGACGACGTTCTTACTGGGGGATCCTGTGAAAGTAAAATGATGGTTAAATTTCAAGATCAATGTCTTTTAAAATTGCCAATAGTCTCTGAGTATTTTGTGCAGGTCTGGCCAAAATGTTGTATAAGATGTGCACCATTTCAGCTAACCAAGTTGGAACTGTCTTGTGCAGCTGGTACCCAAAGCAGGTCTTGTAGTAGTGCTATCAGTATCATGACGTCATATCAACCAGGTGGAGTTGTTGTTATGGGGCCCCATCTTCTTCCTGGAAACTTCAAATGTCACTTCAGGAAAAACTCATTGTTCATTGTGAAAAACTTAAACATTAATCATATAAACATATATGTATATATTCACTGAAAGGCATGATAGATATATTCAATGAAAAGTATGATAGATATGAAGAAAAGCAAAGACGTTTTCTAAACTCATATTTCTTTCTGTCCCATATCATGGCTCTTCACATGAGACAGAAACTCCAGGAACTCTGGATTTTTCTCTTACTAACAGGCTTGGAATTGGAGAGGGACTGAGCCAAAGTCCAACTTCAAAACCAGCTTTATAAATTTAAAAATATGGTTTAATATTACTTACACAACCCATTCAGTTTTCTTGATATTTCCTATTGGGCAGGTATTTTTCCATCTGTCAGTATCCAAACATCCAGGGTCCCTTGAATTTTTCAAAGATGAGTGTTTTCCTGTGGAGATAGGAACAGAACCCTGCCCCCATTTTATATGTTTTTCTTACCACCTGTATGAATATCATCATTGTGGATGAGTTGTCATTTCTCCTTTCCAAGAGGTTTCTCCTCTTCAAATCGAAACTTTATTAATTTTGATGGTATCCACAATTTTTCTTCTCCTGTAGAAACAAGAGCAAAACCCCTTCCCCAACGTAGCACATCTCCTGGCTTCCATTGAGAGGTCAGCACATCTTTGAAATAAATCGGTTGATTTAGTTCAGCAGACTTTTCCATTATCCAATGTCTTTCTGCTGCTGTCGTTCCTTTCTCATTAACGTTAAGAAAATTCAAGGTTAATAAAGCATTATGTAATCTATTTCTGGGGGTATTTTCTGTCCCTTTCTGTTTGTTCAGCATATCCTTTATAGTATGATTTGATCTTTCTAGAACTGCCTGACCTGTAGGATTATTTGGTATACCTGTAATGTGTTTTATATTATAATAATCAAAAAATTGTTTCATTTTCTTAGATACATATGCTGGACCATTATCTGTCTTTATTTGTGCAGGTATACCACATGATGGCCATAACTTCCAATAAATGTGTGATTACTGAATCAGCCTTTTCTGAGCTCAGGGCAGTAGCCCATTGAAAACCTGAATACGTGTCTATGGTGTGGTGTACATCTTTTAATTTACCAAATTCCATAAAGTGGAACACATCCAT